AATAATAATAGTTATCATAATGAACCTTAACGGAAAATTTATATTATAATTTCTTATTGCTCTAAGACTAAGGTACCAAATAAAAGTAATATTATGGTCAAAATATTAAAAGTTTTCGGTATATTATATATTAGTTTTATTAAACAAGTTATGAAGTATAATATTTTTACTAGAACTGATGTTTTTTTTTTTATAGGATAAGGGTGACAAACTAGCACACAGTCCACCTGATGGCAAGTGGTTGCTGTGGCCCATATACATCTACATCTATCCTCGACTAAGAATCAAAATGCAGGAGCGGTGTCACCCATGAGGACTAAGATGGAATGCCTCATTTCCAGTAAAAAGGATCTCAGGTTCTCTACACTCAACATACGAAACACAGCACCGTTACGCAGCTATTTTACGCTGGTATTCTGTGAGATCGTGGTACTTCCCCGGTAGAGCCGACTCATTCGTGCAACAATTATACCAGTAATATAACTTCAGCATGGCTCTACCACGTACAAAATGTATTTCAATGATATGCTATTTATTACTTAATAAAAATCTTTGATAGACAATAGTTACAAATATGAAATGATCACACCTTGTCTATTTGACTACTTTAATAATACAGATACAGACAAAGTAGCACGGAACACCGGCGGATTGGAGGGGAGTAGTCATACGCAGGCATTACCCTCATTCAAAATATTAGTCCACATGGTCTTATGCGTACAATAAAACTAGTTTCACACTGCTCACTACACTAAATCTAGTTGCGTGGCTAAATTAATATTCTATAATAATACCGAATTGTTCAGTTGTTTGCTGCAAAAAGAGATCTGCCCCGACAAATTTACAAAAAGAAGGCATTAATTTCATATAAAAGTTATTTTAATCACATTAATGCTATTTACTTCTTTTCAAACTTAAACATTATAATAATACCGGTTGAGTTGTTTCGGATTTATTTATTAGCACAGACGGATCGTCTTCATACAATATGCAGATCCGTCGTACAACTGATCCGAGTTGTCGCTGTTACTGAGCGATTTTTTTTTAAAAACGTTACCCCCACACTAGGATTTTCTCCTGTATCGTGGAGGCAGTTTACAAACACAAATTGCACAAGGACAAACATCGAGACCCGGAACAATTATTTGTAGGCCATACAAATACTTGTTCCGTGCGGGATTCGAACCCCCGGCCCCCAGCACAACAACTCATTGCTAAGCCATTGCGCCACGGAGCCGTTAAATGTTACTCGTGCCATCCTGGTATAATCATAGATCTTGTGTACATTAAATTGTATGTTTTTTATAAATAAATGATAATATGATCCATATTTATTTCTTTTGTTGTTAATATTAGAAACATTAACTGTTCTTTTCTTTCTTCATTTAAAATAAATAATTTCCAGTAGTAAAAAAAATCGTCGTCCGACGAAATGGAGGACAAGGTTGTTAATAAGGCCAGGTTTACCTGTTTCTTTATGTAGGTTAACCCTGCCCCGATCGGTACCGACCAGTACAGATTTATCTGTACCGGAAACCTGTTTCTTTATGTAAGCACCCTTCCATTTGGTAAGATCCAGACACCAGTCTTGCTTCTGTTACGTCCATATACCTAAAGGATATATGCTCATCAGGTAAGGGTACTCTTAATCTGGCCAATTTTCAATTCATCTTTAAGTTGTAGTGATGTTTTAGGTATACAATTTTTGATAATTTGTTTAAAAATCACTGAGCGATTCTGTTATAATGCATCTATCTATGTGTAATTTTGTTTTAGTTTATTTTATGTGTAACTTTTATTTTCTCCGCAAAAAATGACAGAAAGTTTTGTATCGGCGAAAAATGCTATGGCTGCTTCCCGCCTAACCGCCGGTTGCACGTATTATGCTGATATAACAGCATTCACTGGGCTGTCTATTTTTGCACCAAACACTAATGAACACTGTAAAAATAGTACTGTTTGTGTAGTAATGTCAATTATTTATTTATGTTAATACAAAACATTTAAAATATTATTTGTAACTTTTCGTCTATAAACATCTACAATCATATAGCGACTTTAAAAAAGCGTTCGATGGAATGGATCACGCATTTTATGAAAGAAACTCGAGTGAAATGGTATACACGGCAGTCTGTTGCGTTGGCTCCAGTTCTACTTGAAAAGCAGGAGTCAGCTCGTGACCGTCATGAGGTACGCATCAGAAAAAATCCTCATTAAGTCAGGTGTTCCACAGTGATCCCACTTGGGCCCGTTACTTTTTGTGACCTTCATTAATGACCTCATTGAGATAATTCAGTCCCCTTGCCTGTTATATGCTGACGTCCTAAATATCTTTAATAAAATTGGTGAAGCTGACGGCACGCGCATCATACAGGAAGACTTGAATAGCCTGCCTAATTGGTGCAAAGGAAGTAAAATGTTCCGAAATGTCAAAAAACGCTTTGTCATCACCTACACACACAAAAACAAGTAATGAAACAAAACTATCTTAGAACAACACATTTTGTCTATTGTGTCGTCTATCAGGGATCTCGGGAAATTTTTGGACGAACAGCTTAGTTTCCGCCAACATTACGATCTCAGTCAAAAAATCTAACTAGGTACTAGGTATCGTTACTAGACAGAGCAGGCACTTCAGGAACCCTCAAAGTTTAATTTTGTTATATAACAGTCTGGTTCGAAGTAATTTGGTATATAGTTCAATAATATGGAACCCTTACAACGCATTGAATCGATCCAATCCAAGTTTTTACGTTTTTTGAGCGTACGGACCGGCAACAATAGATGATACAGGTTATATGCTGAAAGACTTAAAGAGTTTGACATGACAATACTTCACCCCTATCGTGACGAATTGAACCTAGTTAACCTACGCAAAATAATACACTCGGAATTGCACAGCCCCGAGGTCTTGGAACTGTTAAATTTTAACATAAAACACAACCCACGTAGATCTATGAGAAAATATTTGACATACTCCTATCGTGAAATGATATCTCACGGAATCAAACCCTATCAAGGTTATGTCGACTTTATGAGGATTATAGCCTTCGCTTAACTGAACTTGGCATTTTTAACTCTAGCCTGGTTTGCTTTAGAAATATTTTGAAAGACATTTTCTAGGACATCTCCTTTGATTGATATTGATTATAATTGTAGTTACTGATTTGTTGCATTGATAGTTAGTTTAAGCAATTTTATTAAAATGTTTGTTTCTCATTCTTGACATGCCGTGATAACACCTATAATGATATTAATATATGTCTTGTATCACACCATTATTATTGTAAGTTATAGCTTTAAGTCATAGTAAATCTGTTGCTTTGTCCAATAAATAAATAAATAAAAAATATGAATGAAACAAATAGAATAAATAAAATGCCATTGTACTCTACAAAATTAAATAAAAATTGCTGAAAATGAAAAAGGATTACCATTGATGGCGTTCTCAACACGCTTGAAAATATTAAAACTTCAACTTTGGTCCTTACTGGCAGCAGCCTAGCGTCAGGTTGTAGACACAGCTGGAAATATGATTACTTTCTATATTAAAAAAAAATTATTTAATCGCTTCGCTTGAAAAGTAAATTCACATAAACATTCAACATTACTTGTTGGTCTTAAGTAACGCACTTTTATTATGTTTTAACTGTGTTTACTGCCGACGAATGATTAGTCTGCAATTTTTCAGACGTGCTTACAGCCAAACACAACATAATAATTTCAATAGTGTTCTCAATACGATCATCATTGCTCAAAGCGTGTAGTCTAAGTTTTATTCATTTCTCTTAAAATGCAAGAAAGCCTTGATCTTTATTAAAATTATTTTTAACATATAGTACTACCAAGGTTCGTTCATTTGTTAAAACCATTTTTGTAATTGTTGAAAATAAAAATATATTACTATTAAAAATATAATTGGTTCAATATATAATAAAATATCCGTAATTTTTAGGTACGTAATACGAGTATATAATTTATAACATAAATATAAATGTGATGTCCTTATTTACATTAAGATTATATTGATCGATATGACACAAAAGTTTGATTGAAAATGTGTGCATACAATACAGTTAATTTATTAAGAAATATTATACTTAGAAGTAGTGCAAGTACATCAAAGATATGACACCAAGATATTTGTAGTTCATTTATGATATGTACAATTCACTCAATATATATTAATACAATATTAAGTGCAACTTAATATTTATTGCATAGTGTAAAATTAATACGACAATAAAAAAAAAAATTGTTTGCTTTATTAATATCTTTTCATAACGTAAACATTTATTCTTTATAAACATGTTCACTAGTATTTCGCTACGTATAAATGTATAGTATAACAACAGAAATATTTACGTATTTATTACGGAACGCTTCCCGATACAATAATTTTAATGTAATATAAAATCTATCTATAAACTAATTGATAAATAAATTTCAATATTTCCTTGTTATATGCCTAAATTATGCATACATATTTTCTATATTAAATGACTAATATTAATACAGCTATCTACTTATAATATTTACATTGCCAAATCTCACTGACTGTCCACACTAATCAGGGGTCCTTGGACGGTATCCTACTCGTACATACGGGAAGAAATCCTTTATAATATTGGCGGTACTATACCAGACGTGACATTGAATTCATAAATTAAAGTTTTAATTAGAAAATAATGACTACTGCAGTTATTCGCATAAACACTTTCAATAATATGAGCGTCACTTTTCTACGATTTTTTTTCTTCATGACAATATTTAATATTTAAAAATCAAAGGATTTTCAAATCAGAATATGCCCAACGCCATAAATTCGAAGGACAATGAAAAAAAAATATAAGATAAAATTAGGTAATTGCTTTCCATTGCATGACTACATTGCAACGATATCGCTTTTAATTAATTTTATAAATAACTTGTTCCCCATGTTTGAAATTCTTGCGTTATCCAGCCTTACATTCAGCATTACAATAGCGTACCTAAATAGGTCATCTTATAGCAACGCATGCAACCATATTGATAAGTATTGCAGTGACGAGAAGACTAATGTAGCTAGATTGAGACTTCACACCGCTTTGCAGTTCTGCTAAACTTGATCCTGAACAATTTGGAAATTATTATTGAACATCAACTTTATTATTATTTAAAACAAAACAACATTACAGTGGTGTTCCATTAATAACATGACACGTACCGTGTAGTGGCGGTGTAAGAATATCCACCACCCCATATCATCCCATAGGTGTCGTAAGAGGTGAAGTAAGCCGCTTAGCAAGCGTGGCAACAATCGCAAATATCCCCCCTCCCCTATCAGGCAATCTTTGATAGAAGCCTATATTCAGGAGTGGACTTTAAAAGGCTGTAACGGTAACGGTAACGTGACAGAGTGTCATGTTACGGTTACCGTTTTTTACCTTTATAGTCTTTTGCAAGTCTTATGGAGACTATTACCTTAAAATTAAAATACTTTAACACTCTTAAGATGTAGGCAAATTGGATGATATATCGTGCTTCAAAATCCTGATATAAATAGAAATGTACGGTATATACGGTAATAAAAAATAGATAAATATATATAAGAACGTGTTTAAACATAGTATGTGGCAGTATAGGAGAATTATCATCCTATTTGGTCCCGTGGGTGTCCATAGAAGACAACAATACAAATACTAAAAAGATCGCCTACCTTCCGACAGATGGCGGTGTAACCGTCTCACACCAGATGTAAAACAGCCTTTCCAGCGATGGGAAGTAGCGTCGAAGGTACTAAAGACCGCAAATCTACCTGACAACTATTATGTATATGGCAATTCCGAACGGTTCGAGATCCTTGCACAGTAGTGGACCCGATATCCAAAAACCAATACTCTCTATCTAAAAATTCGGATAAAATTTTGATTAGTATTCACACTAATCAAGTTGTCAAGACATTTAATAAAATACTACCTTGATGCCAAAAATTTATAGTGTCAAGCCTATTTACATTATTGTGTCAAGCATCCATAATATCATCATTACTCATTTATTAAACTATATTAGATCATTCATTTCCAAAATGAACTTTAGAAATAACAAACAAAATAACATATTATTTCATATCCACCATTTTTATCAAACACGAGGTTTACGGTTGACAATTATCTGCTTGAAGAATAGCGTTCCAGTAATCCATATGTTGTTAAATAAGAAAATAAAAAACTTATTTAAAAGTTCATAATATTTCATAAATTTCACAACACGCGAGCAAAACGAGTCCAATCCCCGCCGGTAATAATTAAATTGTTAGTTGCAATTCAATGAGTGGATTTGTTGTGGATGTGCTCGTCGGTTTAGTTAAACATCGTGAGGAAAGCTTTATATAAGAAATTGAAATAAGTATATTTTAAAGACATTTGAAGTCCACCAACATGATTGGACATGTTTGACACACAACATGATGGGACAGTGCGGTGGACTTTTTCTTCCCCTAAAACCCTTAAAAATTAGAGAAGACTTCTACCCTAGCTTCAAATTAAGAAATATCTTTTACTACCTTATAAATATTAATTTTAAACACTGACACAGAACATGTAACTAAACTTATACATATAAAGTAACCTCCATTTTCGATAAATATCTTTTATTGTAGTAAAGTTACAGCCTATATACGAATGAGATTTGCTAGGCTTATGCCTAAAACGTCTCTTGCTTTGTTACAGGCCTCCTATCTTTTCTGAGAGGCTTTTGGAGCAGTTATTTTACGGTACTAGCGCGTAACCACGGTCTTCTCGTCCTCTAAATATTTTTACTTCCCAAGTTTTTTTTTCGCGGTTTTTGATTACACTGCCTAGGATGTTAGAGTCGCATGGGCTGATATTCAAATTGCTTCATCCCACGGGTATCGTAAAAAGAAATTCTGGCTTAATCCGTTACATAAAGAAGTAAGAGTATCTTTAAATTGCCATACGTGTTTATACAACGTATAAACACGTCGCTTATGCAACGGATGACGAGAACAAAAGTTTCTATAATAAAACAGAAAAAAAAATGTATGCGAGAATTAGCCGAAAATAGAGGAACAAATGGGTTTGGTACTTCAGTTAACAAAATTTAATACACTCCTTACATCTTTACTTGATAGAGTCTCGCTGAAGATGAATGGGTTGAGAAGTCCAAGGTAGGACCACGCTCTTACAAAATACCAGAAAGAAAGCAAAATAATGTTGGTATGTTTTGTATGGTGAGTGTTGAGAAACGGAGCATTTTTACTGGTAACGAGGCAGACAATCTTAGTCCTAAAGGGTGACATCGCATCTGCATTTGGATTCTTAATCAAGAAAATATGTTGCTACGCATTTCATCGCGAAGATAAACTCCGAGAATAGCCATATCCACAGCTAGCTGAATCGACAGTATCGAGGAATCGAGGAGTACTGCTGTACTCAAATGACCCGAGACACTTATTGGGATTATCCCTTTTGTTGAAAGCACTACTGGAATAATTTCGTTTGGCAGACTAAGCCACATGTCAGTTACACCGTGAGCCCTGTTTTGGCTTTCACGAGATTTAAACTGAACTTAGGGATTATATTTAAAAAAAAAAACTACTTTCTTAAAATAAAGTTACATTTTACCTTGTAAGACATGAACTCTAGCGACGGTCCTCATTTTTATAGGAGCTTCTAGGGAGCAGGTGTAGTTGCCAGCATCTTCCACTTTCAAACGAGCGACCTGTGATATTAAACATAATAGTACCCTTTTTAGTATTAATATTTTGTACAAGAAAAATAAAGTAATTTTAGTATATATTTTTCATGTTCCTGTATCATGATCTCGTGTTTTGACAGATAATTAATTCATATCCATATTTTATTTAATCATATAATAATTAATAAATTGAAATTAAATATAAGATGATTTTTTAAAAATAATTTAATTTATTTGTTATAGGTATTCATTCTCATAAAAAAATCAGCCGGTATATCGATTTCATTCATAATCGAATATGTTCGAAATGTATAAGGGCCACGGTATAATTTTACATTTTTAATAAAAAAAGAAACGGCAAAACCAATTTGTCAAATTCAAAATTAATATGATGATTAAACAAATTTGACACATTTTTTTATTATGCGTAAAGTAAGGGTCCTCTGCAAAAATTTCAAAATTTTATTAAGGTAAAATTATTAAGAAGAACAATTTAAGTAACACTTATGTGTTACTTAAATTGCTTACACGGTAAGCAATTTAAGTATCTTATGCTTATACGGTAAGCATAAGCTTATTGTGTTATTTAAACTTACATAAAAAATATCTTTTGAAGCTTAATGTTAAAAAATAGCTTAGCCTAATAATATTTTATTGATTTATCGATTAGAAAATATTTATTTAATGCGAATGAAAAATTAAAACCCCATGCGGATGATGACGGTAGAAAATAATAGGTCGGGGAAAAAGTTTCCTCGTATTTATTTTGTTTGTACAAAATTGAATAAAAATCTCTTTAGTTGTACTGTTTGTATCTGGCTGGCTTTAAAACCAATACATAAAGGCCATTAATAAAAACAAAAAAAATTTTCCCGCCATTTTTAAATTTTTTATCTGTCTGCCAAAATGAGTGAATGTAACGAAGAAATTCGATACATTTTGAAATTTCATTACAAAAAAGGGAAAAGTGCAACACAATCCGCGAAAAAAAAAAATTGTGACGTTTATGTACAATAGCACAAAGTTGGTTCAAGCGTTTTCAGTCCGGGAATTTTCATGTCAAAGATACAACTCGCTCTGTTCGACCTCATATGGATAATGTCGAAGCCATTTTTAAAACGTGGAGTAAGATCGACATATTAGTAGTGAATATATAGCCGAGGAATTGAGGATTGACCACAAAACAGTTATGACCCAATTTCAAAAAGTCTGGCTATACAAAAAAGCTTGATATTTGAGTACCGCACGAGCTTACTGAATGAAACCTAATGGATCGTGTACTTCTTATATGTGATTCTCTATTGAAACGTAATGAAACCGAACCGTTTTTGAAAGTATTGATATAAATTGGATCACCTACGACAATAACGCGCGAAAAAATCATGGTCAAAGGGTAGTCAAGCTCCGCAGACTGCAGCGAAACCCGGATTAACACGCAATAAGGTGATGCTGTGTATGGTAGAATTGGAAGGCCAACGTTTATTATCAGGTTTTACCGCCGGTTGGCAGTTAAGATCCAAAACCATTGATTTGGATCTTTACTGCCAACAACTAATGAGACTCAAGCAAGAAACTGAGACAAAACGGCTGGAATCGATCAACAGAAAAGAAGTGATCTTTCATCCTGATAACATAAGACAAACACACATCTTTAGCCACTCAGCAAAAATTTAAAGAGCTTGATTGGGAAGTATAAATGCGTCCGCCATATATTCCTGAACTTGCGCCCTCTCATTTTCATGTGTTTCGGTCTCTTCAGAATTCTTTAGATAGTGTTAGGTTAATATCAAGAAAGAACTATCAAAACTACTAAAATCCCAAGATTTCTAAAGCAACGGGATTATGTCACTACCTACAAGATGGCAACAAACTATCGAGCAAAGTAGGACATATTATGTATTATAATTTAATATTATTAATATTTGAAAAAAAAATGTCTTGAATTTGTATATACAATACGAAGAAACTTTTTCCCCGATCGACAGAAATTGAATTTCATTCAGAAAGAGTTTCGTTTTCATACAAATTTGTAATATTTTCTTAACTTAAAATTAGACCTTTGTCATTAAAGTTTATGATCCTCTAACACGTACAAACTACGTAAAATTATACATATTTTTGATTGCTACAAAAATCAACTTCACAAAAACATGAAAAAAAAAACTAAATATTAATCTATTCTTTACCGAAATCTGTCTTGTAGGTGTAAAATCAAACAATAAATTAGTTATTCTTTTCTCCACCGCAATCTAACTCCTCATTTTGTCTCGTAGGTGTCGTTAAGTTAGCTTAGAGGAAAATTTTACGACAGCAAGTAAATTTTGGAAATCTGTGTCAAATACTTTTTTAACCTTACTAGGATTTTATCCTGTACCGTAGCGGCGTTTAAAACACATACGAGTAAAATGCAAATTAGTTAGAGGTTAAAATACATATTATGTATAAAAATTACACATTAAAAATCTTAGTACGGTAATGATTAACGAAATAGAAACGTAATGAAACCGAACCGTTTTTGAAAATATTGATATAAATTAAATCACTATATACCTACTTTATTTTCTTTCCTATTATAATCATCATCACAGTCATTACAGCCCATATCAAGTCCACTGTATTACATAGGCGCAATGAATGAGTGCCACAAAACACGGTCCTAAGCCACCTGCATACAACTACGTATCCATTGATGTATATATATATATATATATATATATATATATATATATATATATATATATATATATATATATATATATATGTAGGCCTTAAATTGAAAATATTCATGTACAAGACAAAGGTGATGTGCAAAGTCCATGTCACACTTATGTTGTCCTTTTGTTGGGAACACTACGTTCAAATTTCTGACGGTATGTATACCTAGGACAAATTGCCTGACTAGGTAAATCCAAATTCGACCGAGAGGTCAATCGACAGATTCATCTCGGCTGGGCAGCGTTCGTGAGATTACGACACATTCTCTCGTCAAGTATTTTTCAAAGCTTTAAAACTAAACTGTATAATCTTTTATATTACTGTTGGGGAAATGCACTTAATAAAGTTGAAATAGCGTAGGAGACATTAATTTACCCCCTCTATTTAATTGCCATCTTTGTCTTCATAAATTATTGTACACTTATGTAATACTACCTTAACAGTAGGAGAAAATATTTAAGTCCCCACTTACACTTTACTCCGCAAATATATTGCGGTAATTTAGAGAGAACGAAGGTAACATTACAGCGCCTAGACGTCGGAGGTCATGTGTGGGGCCACTGACAGCGGTTAAATCGTATTTTGTAATGTTATATGGAAACAGTCTGTTAAAAAACAGTTTTCATACTAGGCTACTTTTGAACGACATTCTAAAACTTCTAAAGTATGTTATCATCTATATATGCAGATTATCGATTTTTTACCACCCATTTATTAAAGAAAAACTATGAATGACGGCCATTGACATTTGCAACAACACAAGAACTGCAGGTGCATTGCCGGCCTTTTAAAAAGGCGTAGGCTCTTTTATCAATGTTTTCGTAGCCTTATCGGACCGGAAAAATTCCACAAAGTGGTGGGCTGCCGTTTAAAAGCTAAAATTAATCCAAACGATTCCTCGGAGCATTCACCAAAGTAATTGTTTTTAATATTCTTATGCCAGCGCTTATCTACGATCCCACCTGATGGTAAGTGGTGATGTAGTCTAAGATGGTGAAGCACACTGACTTAACAAAAGCCTATGCACTATTGCCTTGAAGACACCCACACTGTAATCGGATGGAAATACAGATGCTGGCAACTTATTCTACTCCTTTTCTTTACGCATGATCAACGACTTAGCGAACCGTTTGGTTCGAATGCGCGGTAAGTCAACAACGAAAGGGTGGAGACTGGCCGAACGTCTGGTTTTCCGATGGTGGAAGGGAGAGGGAGTAATTAAATTATGCATATATGTATATATTATAATTAACAGTGGTAGAGCCACGCGGCAGATTTTGCTGTCGCACGGATGGGCCGGCTCAAACCGGGGTGGTACCACGACCTCACAGAATACCAGCGTGAAGTAGAGGTTTACCTCTGCGTTTCGCTTGGTGAGTGCAGATGGCCGGAGGCCCTTTTTACTGGAAATGAGGCATTCTATCTTAGTCCTCACGGGTGGCAACGCATCTGCATTTTGATTCGCAAACAAGGATAGATGTAGATGTCTATGGGCCGCAGCAACCACTTACCATCAGGTGGACTGTGTGCTCGTTTGTCACCCTTATCCTATAAAAAAATGCAATTCCTGTAGAAAACCGAAAGGCTGGCTACTTTGCGTCTGTGTTCGAGGCTGGTATGATTGGCTTTATCCAAATTCGGGTCACCAATAAAAATGCAATAGAAAATTTCATCATCTTCGTCATCATCATCATTACAGCCTCTCACATGTCCACTGCTGAGCATAGTAAGAATGCCATAAAACACGGTCTTTAGCCACCCGCACACAACAAGTTCCTGTGTGTTTTATCAAGTCATAGTTTTTTAGTAGCAGCTCGCCCGATTCTCCACTTACCGGTACGAGGCTGCCACTCAATAAAATATCTGCCTCTTATATGCCAATAAATACGACTTGATCTGATATTACCTTCAAAGTTATTATTCACTCCCCTTGATTTTTTTAAAGCAACGATTTTTGAATAGAATAGAATAGAATAATTTTTTATTCAATATTGATTATTACATAATACTTATTGAAAGTCATTTTTTATTTACCACTGGTTCGGAAAACACCTCAGTCCTGGGAAGAACCAGCAAGAAACCCAGCGGGACATTTTTTTTTCATTTTTTTCATTCAAAACCCATTTCTATGTTATGGTTATTATATAAAATGAACTAAATGTACTCTATTAAATTGTAAATCATGTAGACTGAACTTTCACTCTAGCAAAGAATCGCTTACTCTTACTTACATAGAAATAAAGTCTGAAATATTTCTACTATGTATGTATATTCTCTTGACTACCCTTAAACGCTGAGACCTTAGTAAAGTAAGCCTCTACGTGTTTAATTGGCACTTCGTAAGGACAGGCTAATTTAGAAACTGCAAAGCCTAAAGTGACGAATTTAACGCTGTTGAAAATCCTCCGAACATTAAAGTTTTATACATAATGTATTTTAGGTGTTTTTCACATTATTTTTATATGGTTATCAAATATTTATCCTTAATCGATTATACAAATATAATAAAAATAAATTGTAAAATTTCACGAACGCACATCGCAATAAAATTTATGACACCATCCACACCATCTGGATGCTTGGCGGTCCAATACTGTGCATTTTACAAGGAGTTTTCTTCCTCGTACGGATTCTTTGTGGAATCGTTTACCACCGTTAACTTTTCTGGACTAATACGACTTAGGGACCTTCAACGAAAGAGCTTCCTTCTTTATAAAAAGGCCGGCAATGCACCTGCTATTCCCTTGGTGTTGCATTTGAACATAGACGGCGGTAGTCACTTACAATCGGGTGAGCCGCATGCTCGTTTGCCCGCTTTTATATTAAAAAATACAAGTTACACTTACTTTTCACCATTTTTTATATAAAACCCAAATATAAAATATTCATTACTATAATAAAGAAACTAGATAACAATGGTAGAGCCACGTGGCGGCTTTTGCTGTCGCACGGATGGGCCGGCTCCAACCGGGGTGGTAGCACGACCTCACATTTCGCTTTTCGCTTGGTGAGTGCAGGTGGCCGGAGGCCCTTTTTACTGGAAATGAGGCATTCCATCTTAGTTTTCACGAGTGACAACGCATCTGCATTTTGATTTGTAATAGAGGATAGATGTAGATGTCTATGGGCCGCAGCAACCACTTACCATCAGGTGGACTGTGTGCTCGTTTGTCACACTTATCCTATAAAAAAAAAGATAACCGATATTAATTAATATCTTTTTTATAAAATTGATTTTATTTGAGGATTTTTTTTTCAAATTTATGTGGCATAAATTTCAAAAAAAAAATCTTAATATTGGGGGCAAAATATGATATCAAATTGTCAGCTTAACTATTTGAACAACATTAAAACACGTGATATTATTCTATATTTATTATTAGTATAATCAAATGGGGCAAAACTTAGACGATTATAGATAAAAAAAATCTTTAAAATTCATATATTTATTGTTTTTGCAATTTGGCGTCTAGTTCAATGATAATTGCTTTTCAATATAGACAACATTCAAGTTGTTACTCAATTAGTTTTCTATACTCTGTTTTCTAAATTGGGTAGTTCACAACTAAAAAAATACTTAATCGTAAACTTACTACTTAAATATTATTTTAGGATTCCAAAACTTAGTCGGCTTTTTACTTTAATATAATTGTATACATCTAATAATAGATTTTTATTATCTCATTTGTAAGATTTTAATTTGTATACACGAATCCGTGAATCTAAAAGAAATCGTTGACACCTTATAAAGAATATTTCGGTTGACATGTCAACAATCCTATATGTTTCAATAAATTATAGCACAGTCTAGGTAGGTACTACCCTTTTACATATTCCTGCCGCCATTAAACTTACTTGCACTGCTGTGTTACAGTTTAATGAGTAAAGAGAGCCAGTCTAATTACAGGCTGTGAAGCATTCTATCTTAGTCCTCAAACTGACAACAGATCTGTAAGCGCCTTCGTTTGAAGTGTCCATGGACTGCAGTAGCCATCAGGTGGACGTTTATTAGTACTTATATATATATATATATATATATATATATATATATATATATATATATATATTAAAAAATATATTTTATCGCATTGTGGTCGGTTTGTTGTTAATAGATTCCCTTAATAATTTAAAAAGTATGGGTGTGGTGTGACATGAAACGGTTCGCTACGGCAACAATAGAAATGACGTAATTATTGTAGGTGTAATTCGTATACCTCGATGTTTTTCGGAGTGAGTTGTAACCACCGAATTGTAAATAATAGTTTTGTTTTAAGTGAAACACGTCACATCAATAATATGCTATAACAAAAAAATCGCACGTATATCGTGTAAAGAAACAACTCACATATTTCGTGTAAAATAATAGTTTTGTTTTAAATGAAAAATGTCACACCAATAACATGTTATAACAAAAAAAAATCGCATGTTTATCGTATAAAGAAACAACTCACATAATTAGTGATAGAGCCTATTCTATAAAAATGAGCCACGCTGCAGCTATATTATGGTTGTAGCTCGAATGGGTCCGCTTAACGGGATAGGGATACGGTTTCAAAGAAGATCAGTATAAAATAGTAGCTTAAAGCTGCTGTATCGTATGGTGAGTGTAGAGAACCGGAGACCATTTTTATTGGACACGAGGCACTCCAGCTTAGTCCTCAGGGGTGGGCAACTTATCTGCATTTTGATTCTTAATCGATTGAGGATAAATGTAGTATCAGGTGGACTGTGTGCTCGTTTGTCACTCTTATTCCATAAAATAGTCCCAATACGGAATAGAGTCAGTCGCGTATTTTTAATACCTGTTGGCGACTTCATATGTCCTCGAAATGTTATAATTAAAAGTTTCCTTATGATGTTCTCCTTTACCGCTGAGTATGTAAATTAGCACTTAGAATGCAGTTAGCAAATACATTGCTGTTGGGGATCAAGCTTCGTTCGATCATATACTATATGTTAAAGGCAGGCGTTAGTCCTGCAAGCTATTCTATTATGACTCTAGTGTACACTCTCTTTTCCCTCAATCTAATTGTTGGGACCGAAATCCGACACGATCAAAGAGGATTAGGCGACTTCTTTCTGAGGCATGGGGGTAAAACACCGCCATTTTTCCTGATTCCGGGCTGCTTCTGTGAATTTCTTGACGGAAACCCCAATAACTGATTTTGGTCTGAACAGGGATTCGAACCCAGGACCACATTATTAGTAGTCGCATTTGCGACCACTAGACCAACCAAGCACTCCATATGGCAAAATAATTAGTTCTTAATGTCATTAGAATCAATGTAGTCAATAAACTGCATCAATAAACAAAAATGTAAAATGTGAAATTATATTCAGAAAATAACATAATTGGAAATACTAAACACATATACATCCAATTGCATTAAGAGAACACCTAGGCAGAACATATGAGCTTGAACAATTTGTAGATAATGAAAATATACTCCTGCCCGAGGGGGTGTAACTCCCGGCGGAATTCAAAAAGAAAAAGAAAATATTCTATAAGACTATAAATGGGGGAGGCCTGTGTTCAGCAGTGGACTTTTGACAGGTTGTGGTGATGGTAATGATGGTGATGGTGATGGTGAATAAGTAAAATAGCCATATCGCGACTGTATTGCAACTTTCTTGAATATCAAAATCAATACTATGTACAAAATAAAAGATGAAAATTATGACTTTTTATTTTCTTTTACTACATACCTGAAGATGAGACGTCATAATTACATGGTCTGTTTCGATAAATACGCCCCCTCTTATTTCATCAATAGGAGCTGAAGTATTACCTCTGTACCAATGCAACTCAGGTGTTACGTCACCTGAATTTAAATGAAACACTGTACACTTAAGGGACAAATTCTCTCCACTTTCAAGGAAAGCTTCTTTGTTCATCTTGATTTCGGGTTCTGTAAAATGGTTCGAATTCAAATTTGTTATTTCTTGTCAGATTACAAAATTCCCTAGTTTTTAACATAAATTATAATATATCACAAAAATGTTATATTATTTAATACAATTTAGTTATTAATAATTAGAAATTTTATATTTTCGCAGTTTACTTCCTTTGTCATAATTTATCGTCAAAAAATGATTTAAAGTATAATTCGTTTTCATTTAAAGATGACTCCGTTGCACAGACGAAACTAACTTTAATTTAGAAAGGGGTATTCGTAGCTTAATTAAGTTTCTATTTTTTCTTTTGAAACTTCTAATCAGTCAGTATTTGTCAGTATTTTATTTGCAGAATGAGGTTAACAGGGTTTCTTTTGGTAATATTTACTTTATAGTTATAATCATTATTATATGGGGATCATTGTAGAAGCGTGCTCATCGCGACCCCTGCCAGCCCTTTTCAAGGCTGCAATTCTACTCAGCTGCGCACCCATGCCAACGAGGGTTAGGGCGTCCCCCCAAGGCGACGCACACCAGCTCGTCCCCGTTGGTGTGGAATGCAGCGCGCAAAGCGGCGATGGGGACCGCCACCCGTCACACACAGCCCGACACGGCGGAAGGTGAAGGACAGAGTGCAGAGTTGGCACGTGGAATGTTAGAGGAGGCATGAGAGATAAGACGAATGAGTTGATCGAAATAATGAAAGAAAGAGAATTAGATGTCGTGTGTATGTCGGAAACCAAACGGAAGGGCAGTGGTACTGAAGAGCTCCCTGGCAGGGGGTTAGCTCTATGGTCCGGAGTCCCGGAGAGCGAGAACGCCTGCCAGGGAGTAGGGGTGCTGCTGTCTTCTCGGTTGGTCGATGTTATGACTGAATATAAGGTTGTGAACTCAAGACTTCTCTGGGTTCGCTTTAAATTGGGACTGACGAAGTTATTCCTTTTGGCTGTTTATGCGCCGGTAGCTTCGTCGTCCAGGGCTGCGCTGGAGGAGTTTTGGGAGAATGTAAGAGAAGTTCTAGATTTGGCTAGGGGAAACGAAAGAATTGTTGTATGTGGTGATTTGAATGGATGGGTTGGTACCGCTCGACCAGGGTACGAGTCGGTACTTGGAAAGTTTGTCGATAAAAATGTTAATGATGCTGGCAAGCTTATACTGGCGGTATGCAAGGAAAAGGGTCTTCTTGTGACAAACACTTTGTTTAATCACAAGAAAATCCATATGTATACTAGAGAACGAAAGAACGAGAGAAGTATGATCGATTTGTTCCTGGTGGATGACCGACTGCGAAAACAGGTGATGGATACGCGAGTGTTCAGGGGTGCTAACCTGGGAACGGATCACTATCTAGTGATTACTAGATTTAGGGGTCTGTTCGCGGGTTGGCGCTACCGGACGGCAGTAACAGAACCACAGTCGGTCTGTCGCATCTGAAGCTGGAAGCTTCAGGAAGCGGATACTAGGGACAAATATCATTCGAGGGTAGCCGAAAAGCTTGACACCATCGATGGCAGAAAAGAATGTGTAGAAAGAACATGGCAGAACCTTAGGTATGGAATGGTAAGTGCAGCGGAAGAAGTGTGTGGAACAATAAAAAGAGGCAGTAGTAAAAGAAGAGATGCATGGTGGAATGATGAAGTGAAAGAAGATGTAAAGAAGAAGAAGAAAGCATGGTTAGACTACTTGGCCTCTAGTAATGATAAGGATATGAGAGAGAAGATGAAAGAAAGATATAGGCTGCAGAAAGTTCACACGAAAGCACTGATTGAGGAAGTGCGTGAAAGGTGTAGAATGGAAGCGGACGAAAGGTTGTCGAACAACTTTAAGGAGCACTCCAAACTCTTCTGGAAAGAGGTTGGAAGGACCCGAAGTGGTGCGACGGCCTTAAAAATGAACAAAGTGCTTTCGAGAACTAATGACGTCCTCTCAGAAAAATCGGACGTCATGCAGCGATGGAACGAATTTTATAGAGAAATGTATGCGTGTGATGATCTTAGTGAAGGATCCGAGGATGACGCAGTGACTGGTACGCCAGACCCGGACCTCGATGACACTGAGGTCATCAGTATGAAAGAGATTGAACGTGCGATTCGAAGTTTGAAATGTGGTAAGGCTGCGGGACTAGACAGAGTTACTGCTGAAATGGTCAAGTATGGTTGACCTCGCGTCTGGGACAGCTTCCATCTGCTGTGCAATTTGTGCTGGCGGACGGGGGATGTCCCGGATGATTGGCGATCCGCAGTCATTGTGCCTTTATATAAAGGTAAAGGTTCACATTTTGACTGCGGGTGCTATCGGGCAATCAGCTTGACCAGTTTAGCAAGTAAAGTTTACTCGAAGGTTTTGACACGTAGGATGCAAGAGAAATCGGAAAGATATCTATGGGAGGCACAATGCGGATTTAGACCTGGAAGAGGATGCACGGATCAAATGTTTTCTCTCCGGATGATCACGGAAAAGCTTCTGGCTGCTAACCAGAAGATTTTCTGTGCTTTTGTGGATCTTGAGAAAGCATTTGATAAGGTTGTAAGGAAGAAAATGTGGGAACTGTTGCCGGGGTATGGTGTGGATGGTCGATTTCTAAGGGCTGTGCAGTCTCTTTACTGTGACTGTAAAGCCTGTGTGCTTTGGTTTTGGTAGGGCAGGACCTGTCACCCATGTTTAACGTCCAAACGGGCGTAAAGCAGGGTTGTGTCATGTCTTCCTGGCTGTTCATACTGTATCTCGACAGCTGTTTACAGAAGCTGAAAGATAGCTGTTTGGGTGTGAAATTGGGTGACATAAAAGTAAATTGTCTGCTGTATGCTGATGACGCAGTGCTTATTGCACCATCAGAGGCAGAACTGCAGGCATTAGTCACGTATATGAAAGAGGAATGTGAAATTAAAGGTCTCCGTTTGAATGCTAATAAAACTAAGGTTCTGGTATTTGAAAGGGACAAAGAGAGAACGAAGTGTGAAATATGGGTAAATCAGGAATGTCTAGAATAGGTAAATGAAATTGTATACTTGGGGAGTGCTTTTAGCCGGGATGGAAGATGTGATTTAGATGTGGACAGGCGTGTCGCTGCCGGGAACAAAGTCAATGGTGCCCTGACTGCGTTAGTCAAAAGGCAAGGCGTAGCGAAGAGTGCACGAACCTTGCAATACGTAACGCAGTGTTGGTATCGACTTTGTTATATGGCAGCGAAACCTGAGTATGCCAGAAGAAGCATAAAAGTAAGTTGAATGCAGTGGAGATGCGATCTCTTCGTAAAATGTGCGGCGTTACTATGGCCGACCGAAAGCGAAACGAAGAGATTCGCAATATGGCAGGTTTGAAAGATGACCTTATCACAAAAATTGATAAGGGCGTGCTTCGGTGGTTTGGGCACGTTGAGTGAATGAGTGAAGACCGAATGGTGAAGAAAATAGATACCGCGAAAGTTAATATTAAAAGGTGTCGAGGTAGACCGAGACTAAGTTTTGAAGACTATGTGAGCAAATTGCTCGAAGAGGGTAGGGTCAATAGTACTCGGATACCTAGACGTGCATGCATGAAGAAGATAATGAATCTGAAAGAAGCGAAAGAGGTTTGTAAGGATCGTGACACTTGGCGATCTGTTCTCTCTGGCTACCCCGTTAGGGATTGTGCGTGAACATAAATAGTTATAATCCCTAAAAACGGATAAATTCGATTTATAGCTGCTGGTCTATAATAAGCATTAATAATCGATTACGATTACTACAATTACAACTTCGACCGAGAGGTCAATCGACGGATTCAACTCGGCTGGGCAGAGTTCGGGAAGCTACGACACATCTTCTCGTCAGACATACCTCAAAACCTGAAAACGAAATTGTACAACCAGTGCGTGTTGCCAGTGATGACTTACGGAACTGAGACGTGGTCCTTCACTGCTGGCCGTATGAGGAAGCTCAAGGTCGCTCAGCGAGCTATGGAGAGGGCTATGCTCGGAGTTTCTCTGCGTGATAAACTTAGGAATGAGGACATCCGCAGTAGAACCAGAGTAACCGACATAACCCAACGGATTAGTAGCTGAAGTGGCAGTGGGCCGGCCATATAGCTCGAAGAACCGACAACCGATGGGGAAGAAAGGTTCTCGAGTGGCAGCCTCGTACCGGTAGGTGAAGTGTAGGGCGTCCCCCCACGAGATGGAGTGACGACCTGGTAAGACATGCAGGAAGTCGATGGATGCAGGTGGCTCAGGACCGTGCTTTGTGGCATTCTTTGGGGGAGGCCTATGTTCAGCAGTGGACTTGTGAAGGGCTGTAATGATGATGATGATGATGAATCGATTACTGCTGGTAAGACTATCGAATGGTTTATTTATATAAAATAGTCGTGTTTTTGAACAATCATACTTACAATGCTAATAATGTTCACGTAAACTACTCCAGCTAAACGTAAAATTACTTGATCTAGCTATGGTTAACGACAGTATTCAATTGATGAATCGTCCTCGACCTTTTATTTAGCAGTTCGTACCCTAAACTATTAAGATACTCTCTCTTTACTAGTTTTTTTTTAATCTATTTTAGGGCAGTGATTTACTACAGTCCAACCTGATGGTAAGTGGTGATACAGTCTAAGGTAGTAAAGCACACTGATTTTACAACATCCTATTCATTTATAACAAGTCTCTCTTACTGTCTCATTTAAACTTTCTTATCACAATTTAATTAGATGCAAAATATTACCCAATACTTACTATGGACAGTTAACTGAAAACGTTTCAGCATTGGTGGATGTGTTGATACATGACAGCAGTAAACACCAGAATCCGGCACTTTTACGTTAGACAAAAATAGCCTCCATGTTTCACCTGCGACATCAACGCGGTACCTACACGAGAAAAAAAGCAAATTAATAAAACATTCCATTTAGCATTTTGCAAGTAGATGTTAATAATTTATTATATTTTTTAATATTTAAAATAAATTATTAATACATATACAGAAAGTATTAACAGTCACGAACAATCCTTTTGTTTATTCCTAAAGTCGTATCGATAAGACCGCATAGCGATGCAAGAACAATACCTTGATATTAATTTACACCCTAGTCGCGCGCCTTCCCCTAAGGTGAAGCTTCAAGGAATTCCAATATCAGGCAATAGATATAATACCGACAATATCATATTTGTCGGAGAATAGAAAAATGACATTGTGGTATCTGAATTGTATTGAGAACAGATAATTACCTGTTATCAGCAGTGTAGGTATCAAGGTTTATTGTTAGTAGCTCTAAGTTTTCATTTTCTGAAACTTTTATCCATGACACCTGCAAATTAAATAGAATTAATAACATATAAAATATCTATATTTACCTTACCGAGAAACTAAAGTTAGATGAATGGTGTTAACACTCTATAACTTAATTTTTTGCATGCCCTAGAAAAATAAAACATTTTGAATACAAATGAATCCGTCGTTAATAAGAGGATTATGCCTAACAGTATGATTTATAATGTCTAAGTAATTACTTAATACTTTAGAGAAATAAGAGTCGTTCCGATTGCTGCTAGGGCTGCCACGTTTTTTCAGTGCGTCTACAATGTTCGCAGAGGTGCACTCTGACTGTTTTTATGCGAAAGTTGGTAAAAATTACCTTGCGTACAGCCACTCAATAAAATAGAATTTATCGAGCGGACGTACGCAAGGTAATTTTTACCCACTTTAATATAATGGATTTTCGCGAAGTAACGCCTGATTCGATTAATTGTTTTTATACGGTCATCAGAAAGCGGTGCACTTCCCAACTAAATCACGTACGCTCTTTTCTTTTACTTATTTATTCTTATAAAAGATACTGCGCATATTTTTATGCATATGCCTGGCATAAAAGCAGTGTGACGTGGTTCATGCGCTAAGGCATCACTTCCACTTGTCTACTAGTTTTCTCTTTTTTTTCTAAATCATTGTTTTGTGTTATGTTCACTTGTTGTTTTTAGACTTTAAAATTTGTCAAAGTTAAAGTTGCAGCCTATATACGTTTCACTCCTGGGCACAGGCCTCCTCTCACTTCTGAGAGGGTTTTAAAGCAAGGAAAATGCCGCCTGGTTGCCCAACTTCAGATGAACTTCAGATGTTTTAATTTTTTTTTTCTTATTTCTCAGACATGCAGGTTTCCTCACGATATTTTCCTTCATCATCAAGCAATTGGTAAATCAGCACTTAAAATTGCAATTAACAATTTAATTGATGCCGGCGGGGATCGTACCCATGTTGCTCGCGTACTGTGAAATTTACAGCGAGCGCTCATCTTCTGAGCTACCACGGCTTTTAGATTTTACTAACAAAGAATAACCTGGTCTGAAATAAATCGTTCATTCATTCATTCAATGCAATTTGTGAACAGTAGTTTAATTTAAGAGCTGAAATTGAAATTACTTTGAACGAAAAATTCTACCTCATTCTCAAACTTTGACAATATTTATCACGGTACAACGCTGTTAGTACATAGTTCAAACGGGTTGTTATGTTCTCAAAACAAGAAGTAAAACGCTTTGCGCAACATGATATGAGTACGAAATCTCTTTGCAATGTAATATGTAAAAGGAAAATAAAAACAAGCATTTAATTGCATGGTATGTGCAGCCTTTAAAATACTGTAATCCTACCAAACTTAATAGTTTCTAATATCATTTTTTACGGATTAATAAAGAAGTTCATTTTTGACCACTTTTAGTGGACTATATAATACACAACTAGAAAGTAATCTAAATAGTCATATTACATACGTTATCCCCTGAAGTATATACTATTTAATAAAAAGCATCATTAAAATAGGCTAGCATTATTTGACAACGATCTTTTTATTTATTTTTAGAAGCCGGCTAAATAAACGATGTATTAATTAAAATACATAAATATTTAATTTCAATTTCATGGCTAGAAGATTCTCAAACAGTCTTTAACTACATAACCATATCTATATATCTATATAATATTATCGGAACACTAAACTTCTCAGTCCCAACTCTGTCTCAGTCCTTGACAACCTTCGAAACGTCGAAAACTTAGCCAGAATAAATTTGTTTGTTTTATCCATCAGGGATCATAAAATAACATTGCATTTATTTGAATTAAATACATTTCAAATTATGTAATACATTAATTAAAATACTTAATAAATAAACACAAGTATTCGCAAAATAATAGGAATCATTTTTTTAAAAAGTTATTATTTTAAAAATTTATGAAGTGTAATACAATAATTATTGATTCTAAATTATAATGTTACCATAAAAATGTTATTGTATAATGTTTCTCGTCTTTGGTTACCGTTTTGTCCCTTAAAGAAGACACTTGGCAGTCAAAAAGTACAGTCGATCCCGTGTCAGCTTCAATTATCGTATCCTCCGAGCTCATGTCTCCTTCGAATGATGGCGCTCGAAACCTGGTAACGAAACTGACATTTTACTTCAAAATATACAATTTTTCAATTGGTAGGATTTTAATTTTGGTTGGTTGTTATTCTTATCCAAGCATGTGGTGTAGTAGACGAGCCTGACTACTGCAATGAAGGTTTTGGTTTCGTATCCCGCAACAACTAAAGTGTTAAGACGTTTGTTGAAACGTGGTAGTCATGCTGCTACTGGAAGGACCACGCTCTTACAGAATACCAGCGTAAAATGGCAGCTTGATACTACTGTGTTTCGTATGATGAGTGTCGAGTACCGGAGACCTATTTAACTGGAAAAGAGGCATTTCATCTTAGTCCTCACTGGTGACGACGCATCTGCATTTTGATTCTTTATTGAAGATAAATGTAGATGTCTATGGGTCACAGTAACCACTTAAAGACTGTGTGCTCGTTTGTCATCCTATCCTATAAAAAACGCAGTGGTATATTATGTCTGCAGCACGCTTGCATCGGATCGACTGGATAAAGATCAGTATACCAGCCTGAAACAGCAACATAATGCCTTTTTACTATTAACGAGGCAGTCTTAGTCGGGGTGATAAAGATTACTACATTTTGATTTCTAATCGAGGTTAGACATCGATATATCTATGAGCTTCAGCATCTACCTACAAACAAAAACTGTCCTAGCCCTAGTCATAGTGTTTCTGACACTGCATCCGAGCCTGATCTAAACTTAGTCGTAGAAACGTAACAGCTGATACGGGTTGAATAGCAAATGTTAATTATTTTATTAGCATTTACTCTTATAATAATGTGTATTTTCTGATTAGTAAGTGGTTCTATCGGTATTACAAAACTGTTGCCGTGCACGGAATCGGGCAAGAAGATATAGAGATTTAATCAGAAAGCAGAGGTGATAGCGTAAGAGAAGCGCACATGAAGAAAGGCCAGAAAGAGCTACAAACCCGCGAATGTTCGCGGTTTGCCATCACGTATATCCTAAATAATAAACACCTGAACCAGCGGCATAGAACAATCTTAAAGGTGCGAAACATAATTATAGTACTATGATAGACAATCTTCTTGGCAAGCGTGGCAATTTGTCCTATATTATAAAATAACAATATACGTTGTGAACTGTTATGGGTTGATACAAAATAGGAAGAGTCAATTGGTGTATTTTAAATTAACTCCACCAAATAGCGGAAGCTTTGAGGAGTTCCTCGGATTTAATTTAGTCGACTTTAAGTACATAATTTTAAGGATCTCTGACCGGTGACCTGTAACATTCATATACATACTTGATTCAATTGTTTATATTGGCTTTCGACAGATGACGTTTTTTCGTCAGATGTAAAATATTTAGACCGGCAACAAGCAGCAGCGTCAATGGTGGGAGACGTCTGGCACTGCGATCATCAATTCGCCTGCATATTGTGACTATTAATGCAGCCAGTCCAGCTGTGGACTTTTATAGGCGGATGGTGATGATGAAGAAGAATATATGTAAGGTTGTTTAAAGTAGTTTTGTTTAAACTTTTATATTTTAATTTAATGTTCTAAAATGTGTAAAAGGTAAGACAATCTATAAAACGAAAATGTAATATCCATAAGGAAAATGGAACTTTCCATAAAAATTTACATGTGTATGTGAGTCCTATGTAAATTTTTATATTCCTTGAAAATTGCTACGTTTTTAGCATTGTATTACTGACGTTTTCCTACAAATTTCTTTTCCTTTGTAGCCGGTAAAGTCTCTTAGTCAGTTATGTTAGTTTAAAAATCGACACTTCTTTGTCGTCAGAGCTTCGAACTTTTCAACTTGTAAGAAGTTTCTAAACCGTTTATGGCTCTTCGACGCTATTACCGTACCACTATTACGTCCTTTAACGTTAGTTGGTAACAAAATGTCCAAGAGAGGGGTAGTTTTAGGTTTTATTATGCAATACAAGATGGAACTTTACGCTAATTTTATATTTTAATTTACTGCTGAAAAGAAAATTGAATTAATTTTGCAACTTAAAAGAATAGAAAAAAAAATCCACTTAATAGATTCTGATGTCGATGCTAAGAGATAGTGGGTATATCGAAGAAATAGAATCCCGACTTTTGAAAGAACCTTTAAAATGGCTGCATCGCTAACGTTAAACGTCATTGTGCCAAATGAGCGCACCGTCCACCTGATATTAATTGAATGCTGTGGCCTATAGACATCGACATCCATTTAAGAATCAAAATGCAGATGCGCTATCACCCCTCCGAACTAAAATGAGGGTCTACGGTTCTCACCAAACGAAACTGCAGTATTAAACTGGCATTTTTTATATTATATTCTATAAGAGCCTGATCCTTCCCCGTTTTGGCCGACCCAATGTCTTTTGTATTTCTTATCTATCTATACAAATAAATAAAATTTAAATGTCTGTTTGTAAAGTTAAAATAACAGTTTTTACAAAATGCATACGAAAGTTTGTACGGTACTTATAACAAAAAAAATCTGTCTGTCTGTTTGGCCCAGTCAATATCCAAAATGGCTGCAACGATTTTGACAGGACTTTTACGGGCAGATTGCTTATGTTATAAAGGAGTAACTTAAGCTATTTTTAATCTAAGAAAAGGAATTAGGGTTCCGCGCAGAAAGATTAAAACCCATGAAATCCAATCGTAATAAATTCAACGCGGTCGAAATCATGGGCTAGTATTTGAATAAGAAAAGTTATATCAACAATTTCACTGATAAAATAACAAACTTGAAAATTGTTATTACTTCAATCGTCATATTTAATGTCTAAAGACAAAGAAAAACAATACAATAAAATTTTAGATTTTGTCGGGTATTATTTTATACGATACAATTTCACAGTTTCTAGCTTTTGAATAGCGAAACTGATTAAAGCTAAATAAAAAAGACGTGCATGAACACGCTCGTTCTTGTTATTTTATGTGTTCTTTTTGAGAATCCTTTTACGAAATCCCGCCTACAAAATATGTAGGGCAAAAACATAAATATGGTTTTCACTAAAAAAGTTGCTGGGACGTGAAACGAGTGCAAATTAATTAGGTGTGTATAACGAGTTTCAAACGGGGATACAATTATGTTAGTCCTTTTAAAAATGTCAGTAGCTAAGCGAAATATAGATTTTTTTATAAACTAAAAATATCTGTTCCTCAAAATTAGGACAAAAAATATGTGCCCTAATGAATGAGAAATGAAGTGCCCTTTTTTCATTCTCACAGTCTTTATTTAAATTTTAAAACCAAAATTGATATATCATACAAATAGCTACACAAGAAAGCCAATATGTTAATATAAAATAAAAAAAAATAAGAAAGAAGAATAATTCACTATAGTGTTTTCCGATCTGAAGGATAAAGAAAGTATAACTACAAGCTCTGAGGAATTCCATCACGGTCTTCAGTAGTGACAATACATCTGTAACCTTCTTTGTTTTAAGTTGATTGCAGGTGTCCATGGACTGTAGCAACCACTTACCATCTGATTGACTGTAAGTTTATTTGTCATTTGAAATGTATAAAAGAAATAGTGACAAATTGTCACCGAGAAGAATAGAGAGAGCATTGTGAAAGAAACAAATTTTCTTGAAATATATGAGTGATAGAGAAATAAATTTTGTAGAGGAAATGCATGGCCACAAAGCTTTGTTCCTAACGAGTTGCAGACAACTAATTGAGACTCAAACGGGTTTCAAGTCATTAGAGAAAATTGGCGACAATTTCACGATACTAATTTCGTAATTCTTGGTTAACTTTTCGCACGTTTTATTTGAAATAATGTTTTTTTTGTTCTTTCTCCTACATAAAAGACTATTTACATGAATAATTTTTCTTTATAAAACTGAAGTGACAAACGAACTTACAGTTTTTTTTATAGGATAACGGTGACAAACGAGCACACAGTCCACCTGATGGTAAGTAGTTGCTGTGGCCCATAAACATCAACATTTATCTTCGATTACGAATCAAAATGCAGATGCGTTGTCATCCGTGAGGATTAAGATGGAATGCCTCGTTTCCAGTAAAAAGGGTCTCCGGTTCTCTACACTCACCATACGAAACACAGCAGGGTTAAACTGCTATTTTACGCTGGTATTCTGTGAGAGCGTGGTCCTTCCCCGGTCGAGCCGACCCATTCGTGTTACAGATATACCAGAAATATAGCTGCAGCATTTCTCTACCACGTATAGATTATTTATCTGAGATAGTTTATCTGATGGTAAGTGGACACTGCAGTCTATTGACACCTATTGTTCTGTTGTCCTACTGATGCACTAGAAGGGCTAATGGTAAATAAATTAAACCACAACAATATAAATTACAAATGTGGTTTCTTCATTAACAGCACCTGCAGCCAACGTTAAACAAAGAAGACTACAGATACATTGTCTCATTTGAAGACTAAGATGGAATGCCTCAAATTCTGTAATTATAATGGCTCTCTAAACCTTTCAGACCGGAATACAGTAGAGCAAGCAGTGCTATTTGGCAGCAGAAATAGGAAAGACACTTACTCATATGGGCTCCCAAGCTGAAAAAGAGACCTAACATCTGATAAAATTACCTACTAAAATAATAATTGATTTTTTTCTTTAAAAAACACGTCAAACTCGTATACTTTTTGAGATATTATTATATACCTAACATAAATAGGCATTGATGTACGTATAAAAATTGTTCTTTAAAATAAGGAAGACTTCTTTGTTATAATTTAAATAAAGTTTGTATCAGATGTAATATAAATAATCGTTAAGTTACTAAGCGAGCTGTAAAGAGAGAGCAACGTTTTGAACGTTTCATACGTGGTAGAACTATGCTGCAGCTATATTTGTAGTATAGTTGTAGCACAAATGGGTCGTCTTGACCGGGGAAGGCCCACGCTCTCACAAAATACCAGCGTAAAATGGTAGCTTGATACTGCTGTGTTTTGTACCGTGAGTGTAGAGAACCGGAGACCCATTTTACTGGAAAAGAGGCATTCCATCTTAGTCCTCACGGGTGACGACGCATCTGCATTTTGATTCTTTATTGAGGATAAATGTAAATGTCTATGGGTAGCCTCCTCACGTAAATAATTGCACAGATTTTGAACGTTTTTAAAATAGTATTAAATTAATTAATAAATTGTTAAATATTTCCAAAATAGATGAAACAGCTGAAGTATAAATTTATTGATCGCGTCAACTTTAAAAGTTAAATAATTAATTGCATGACTGCCTTGTAAAACAAGTTAAAAGAAATGCGAATCGGATATGACTAGACTATATTTTGTTAATCAATTTCTAGCGTGTTTCTTTTATTTAATTTATTCAAATGACTAATGAAGATTTTGTAGTGATAAACTTGTAATTAATGAGATAAGGATCTTGAATAATAATAAGAAATTAAAGCTCTGTTGTTTTTTTATTGCTACTTCCTGAATTTTAAAACTTGACAAAACTTGTTTCTTGTAATAGGTGGTAGGATTCCTTTTATATCTAAGAGTCAATCTAGGTAGGTAGCACACTCTTGCCTATTTCTACCGCCAAATAGCAGTACTTACACAGCACTATGTTCCGGTCTGATATATATTGAGAGCCAGTATAATTAAAGGATGTAAGACATTCTTTCTCAGACCAGAGAGGTGAGATCGTGTCCATAACCCTCTTTTCTTGAAGTTAGCTGCATGTGTACATGAAGTACAGTAGCCATTAAACATAAGGTGGACTGCTAGTTTGTTTGTTATTTCCTTACCCCTTATAATTTCCGGAAAAATCGCTGATGGTAATCGATTCCACGACTTCCTTGTGGAATCGATTACCATCAGCGATATTTCCGGATCGATACGACTTAGGGACCTTCAAGAAAAGAGCCTACTCCTTTTCAAAAGACCGGCAACGCATCTGCAATTCCCCTGATTCCCCTGGTGTTGCAGTTGTTCATGGGCGGCAGTAGTCACTTACCATCAGGTGAGCCACATGCTCGTTTGCCCCCCCTCCTATAAAAAAAATTACCGAAACCCTAACCGTTAAAATTTCTCCTTTTTTATATGTTTAGTATAAATACAGGCTACAGGACAATCCGTTTTAGTCCTCAATGGTGACAATACATCTATAAGCTTCTTTGTTTGAGGCTGGCTGCAGTCGTCTATGAACTGCAATAGCCACTTACCATCAGTTGGACCTGTGTCACTTACTTACTTTAAAAAATAATTTAAAATACAGCAGAAGTAAATACTGCTTAATTTTCTTTATCAGTTTATCAAAGTCTACGGCTGGCCTCTCTTGTTGTATAAAAGATTAGCCTTAAACGTCATTCGTCGCAGGTGGATTGACGATAGGATTATCAGACATTTGAAATTTTGTTATTAGTTGTGGATTTTATGTCTGTCATAATTTGGTTATGATATACGGATGTTTGTTTGCTTAAACTACGTGCTCGCGGTTGATTGACAATTTATTCAATTTTGCTTCTGTAAGTAAGAAACACTCATTATCGTCCTCGGATTGGCAAGTCATGCAATAACTCAGTTTGTTCTGAAGCAACGTTAATGATGGATAGTAAAAGAGCACCGCAATAACACTTCGGCGATGATTGCGTTTACGTTAGCGTGGATGCAAGTGATTATGGAACAAACATTCTCAAAACGATTAAGAATTCGTGCTCCTTTTATAATATTAGAAAAACATATACATGGATACAAGCAAGAGAAATATTTCTTAAAACAAAATAAAGGTATAGTGTAGTTCTCTATTTTGTTAAAAACAATTATTTCTAATATTTTGTTAAAAACAAAAAATTATGTACATTTAAAATAAATCTGCATTTGACATCGTCTATCAAAATTTTTGAAAAACAATGACACGCAGAAAACATCAATTGAGACTGGACTCTCCAGTATCTGGCCTGCTACTTTGTGTGTACATAAATAAATAAAGCTGAGAACTCTTCTTTGTAATGCAGACTATCCTGAAATGCGGTAAATGATTGATGAAATATAGCATGAGGGTCCGTCATGCAGCAAGATCATTCATATATTGCGAGCCATGCGGTATTACCATTACCATATACGACTCCTACTACACACGAAAAACTTAAATTGGCGGTATTTACTTAGTCTCAAAATATTGGCCGTTACATGTCTTGTTGAGTTTTTTTCGGGTAATTTATTCTATATTTTTGTTTCACAAAATAAAAATCGTCTTGTTCTTTAGAACGAAGAATAAAATTAAATATAATGGAGGTTTTTCATTATAGAAAATTCATCGTTATTATTTTATTACCTGTTCAAAGTTTTTTGTTAAAGGAACTCCTCAGTGTAGTTTAAGAACAATGTGAACGTCAGCAAAATTAAATACTTACTTGTCATGAAAATGCTTGTTGCTAGTAGCATATGAGTCGAAAATATAATTCAGCATTGGCGAGTCTCCTTTTCCTTTGCGAGCAGGTAGTTTCTTTGACTGGTTTATCATTGACTGAACTATATTTTGGGATGTCGGAACCGCGATTATTTTCATTGAAGAGCTTGTCGATTCAATACCTGGAATTTCTTTAAAATAATTTGAAAATTTCAATGAATATGTTGTTACAACTGAACTGATTATTAACTAATGCAAATGTTTGTTATAGGTTACAATTATTTAAAACATTGAAAATTATACTTTTATTAATAATATTTCATAGCGTGCAGTGCCCGTTTTATTTTAAAACATATTGCTCTTTTGTGTTATTATTTAGTAAACTCTAATTATCAACAAAAACTTTACTCATTAAAATAGATTTAGGTTAATCTAAACTACTTAATTAAAATAGATTTAGGTTAATCTATTTATAACCTAAGTTTTAAGTACCTGTAATATTGCTTTGTGGGGCGATGGCACTCGTGAGCACCGCCATTAGTATCACGATGCGGTGCATACCGCCGCATCCTACCCGCTCAGCAGGCTCCCTAGACAAAGTAAAAATTAGTTTCTAGCTCTTTCTATTATCTCAAGACATACTAGCATTAATAATAAAATTTAAACATGCAATTGAGAACTTAAGTTTAAATATATTTTATATTACTAGCTTTTTACCCGCGGCTTCGCTCGCGTGGGCTTCATTTTAGAAACATCATTAAATGCTGTTCTGTGCCAAATTTAGCAAAATTAGACCACCTTATAGTCAGCTTGGTGCCTGTGTCACTATGTCTGTTCGTCAAATATTTTTTTTGAATTTTTAAAGACTATCGGACGAAGATAAGTGATATTTGACATAGATATAATATACTATAGGAACACGTGATTATATAAGTTTTTCAGAATTGCACTTTCGTCATATGTCCAGAATCATTTACTATTTTTTATATCGGGCGTGTCTTCTGATGTATCCATAAAAACGTAAATTGTCTTGGAATCAAAATTTATTATTATTATTATTTATATTTTACATTTTAAATTCATTCATAATTAAAGATAATTTAGTTTTAACAAAAAAATTATGATTTCATAATCTTCTATCAATTTACGGTATAATGTTTATTTGCGATATTTTTTTTCATATAACTGGTCCCATTTAATATTGCTTGGCACCATAAAAAAGATGTTGATATTCTTTTTACGTTCGAGTAGACTTCAAAATTTAATAAATGCAATATATTGAAGAATACTACACATGAAATAAAACTAATTTTACTTAATTTTTTTACGCGTGTTTTTTTTTTTACACCACTTTGGATGTACGCTCCATAAAAACCAGCGTAAAAGGATATATCGCTCTTTTACGCTTCGGAAAGTCTGAAGAATGTCAACATGATATGATAGACAACAAATCCTAGCAATAAAACACAGATTTTTACCAATAATCATTCGCGAGGCTATAGAAATTAAAAAAAAAATTCTTATTGCAATAGAAAGATGGCTGGATGCTACCATCTGCTTAGGATCCCATAATTAATAAAATTAAAGCCAAGCCCAATCGTACAACTGCAAGACTTTAAGTACTGTAAGCCCGTTCTGCCTAGATTGGGTCTAACATTATTAATTTAAAGTTGATGGTGGTCTTCCTAAACTATGACATCAGGTCGTCAAACACCTCACATGGGTTTTATAACCCGAGAGAGTTGTTCTTCACCACTTTTTATAGAATTAGGGTGATAAACGAGCACACAGTCCACCTGATGGTAAGTGGTTGCTGTGACCCATAGACATCTACATATATCCTCAATAAATAATCAAAATGCAGATGCGTTTTCACCCGTGAGGACTAAGATGGGATGTCTTTTTTCCAGTGAAAGGGGATATCCGGTTCTCTACACTCACCATACGAAACACAGCAGTTTTTAGCTACTATTTTACGCTGGTATTCTGTGAGAGCGTGGTCCTTCCCCGGTCGAGCCAACCCATTCGTGCTACAGCTCTACCACGAATAAAAACTTCACCACCACTTCACTAGACACATGGTAAATCAGCACGTAAAATTTTCCATTACTGATTTATTTTTTCTCAAAAGAATCAAACACATTTTGCTCCCGTGCCATAATGAAATTTCACGGCGAGCTATTCGGCTCTCGGATTTGTTAAAGTAAAATTCATAAAACCTGAGACTAGGCTTTTGCACAATGTTTGACCACATTTACTTAGTAATTAGACATTCAACGATGCTACAAACTATTCCATCAAATGGAGTTAAAAATTTCACAGTACACTTAGTTTTCAATTATTTACATCAGATGACTTGTTAATAAATGAAGTTGGTGAAAGAAAAGCTACGCCTACAGAGACACCCAATATGTTCAACTGAAGAGCTTCTACCTTAATCTAAGTTTTGTGTACACTGTACACGAAACACATGTTGTGTTGTGTATAGTATTCAGTATAACAGTGTCGTTAGTCATTTTGTCAAACGTGGTTACTGCGTTAAATCATCCCGATAGTGTGACATTTTTTGATGCTGCACGAATAAATATTCAGTAGGATTCGAAAATTTAATTTTATCGGTTACTTATCATTAGTTTATTTAGCAGAAAGTAGATGGCGCTATTATTAAATTAAAATAGCTATGAAATCTAAAACTATTCTATCTAGTAATATCAGCGATAGAAGGTTGAGGTGCGACTAGCTCAAGAGCAACCCCAAAGTCGCGAACATTTATTTATTATACAAATAACGCATAAAGTGATGCTGTAAAATTCTGTTTCTCTTAAAAATATGCTATCAACGCCACTAGTAGTACCACCACTATTTAAAGATATAATCATATCATGAAATAGCAATTTGTGTTTAGTTATTAGTATCTTCAAACGATTTCTTTTTATATATTTGCTCAAGCTATATCATGCAAGGGTCAACAAACAGTGTTAAATATCATGAAATGACACAATTTCACGAAATAATAGACTACTTTATGATATATGATCAATTATATGATCTGGCCACGACACATTTTTTATAGGATAGGGTGACAAACAAGCACACAATAAGTGGTTTCTGTGACCTATAGATATCTACATCTATCCTCAATAAAGAAAAAGAATGCAGATGCGTTGTCACCCGTGAGGACTAAGGATTGCCTCTTTTTCAGTAAAAAGGCTCTCCGGTTTCTACACTCACCATACGAAACACAGCGGTGTTAAGCTGCTATTTTACGCTGGTATCCTGTGAGAGCGTCGTCCTTCCTAAATGGAGTCGATCTATTCGTGCTACAACTAAACTACTTATATAGCTGCAGCACGGCTCTAACACGTATAAAGATATAAAAATCTTTTTGATTGAATTATAAGGATAATGAAAACTTTTCAATAAATGGAGGCAGACCAGTTTTAATCAGTTTACATATGGATTTGTAATTAAAATAAAAACCACATCAATTTACATACGCTTGATAGACGTTACTATTATATATTTAAATTATTACGCTTTTAAAATGAAATAACAAAAAACTAAGAAATAACGTTAGGATTTTTATACGATTTTATAAATCGAATTGTTTAAATATATAAATATAAGTTATTTATATTACAAAATTTATTAGTAACTGAAGACAAAATATACTACTATTTCCATTTGATGATGGCGCTGTTTTGATAATTAAAATGTAGATTGTCAGTGCAGTTTGAAATTGTTGTACAAGGTTTAGAACTAATTTTAAACTTTATTTATAAATTATAAATATGGTATTTATTTGAAAAAAAAAACACCCGTCATCCCGCCTATTAACTAACATTATAATTATATATAACAGAAAATTAATATCAAAAGGAAGTAAAATACTTAGCCCTCTTTTTTTAAGTTACGTAATCGGATAAAAAGTAGCTTCATAAAAAATTTCATGCAAATCGGTTCAGTAGTATTCGCGTGAATCTTGAATACACATACAGATAGATAGACAGACAGATAGACAATAATCCTAAAACCCACTAATTTCACTTCAATACCCTTAATTTAGTTCTCTGGGTTTGTTTTCTCAAGAATATATTAGAATTACAGACACGACTTTTATACTGATTTATATAGACATATTAATTTTTAAATAAATTAGTTTTATTTAAAAATGTGTAGTGTTCGCGTAAATATAAGAAATCATTAGATATATTAATATTAGGGCCGATTTTTCAATCCTCAGCTAAAAGTTATTCATGTGATAAAATACAACATAAACAAATACAAAAACAATATGAATAAAATTTTTAGTTAAATTGTTTTACTTTTTTATTCAGTTAGGTATAATGTATTGGATGGATAACTTTAATCTGAATGATATCGTAACACTTCTTACACTATCACTATCTTATATATTGCATCAGATACTGCTACCGATATCATTACGATCTATTAAAGTCCACTGCTGAACATATGCCTGTAAAGATTACCTCATACGGAAGATTTTGCCATAGTTGCCACGCTTGCCAAGCGGTTTTTTTATTTAGGTCGTTATTGCGAATTCGCTGCTGCCCATCTCCTGATTTGTTTCCCTCTGTCGCCTCTTACGACACCCACGGGATGATATGGGGTAGTGGATATTTTTACACCGCCAATGTATGGTACAAATTTTTTTATAGGAATAATATTAAAAATGTATTTTATGTACTAGGTAAACGTGCTATTATAGGAGTAAGGCGAATTTAAACAAAGAAATATCTAAATTGCAAGGCAAACATAATATCATACATTTTTAACAAGGTTACAATCATAATATTATCTGATAAAATAGAAAGAGAATACGCTTTCTGTCACGAGTTGAATGTAAACGCAAATATTAAACATCCATGAGTTTTCATTAATAAAGCAAAATGAGATAAATTAACATTTAACTTGACAAAAACATCAAATACTGAAACTAGATGAAGACATTTGAAAACTAAAGAAGCTTAATGATCAGAAATAAAACAAACTCATTATCCTGTTGTAGTTATTGTTAGTTATAACTATAGGCTAAATTTATTTTAAAAATCATTCTTAAAAACTTCCTTTGTAAATTTTTTTAAATATTTTTTTCTGTTTTGTCAATTTAATTTACTAAATTTTGTTTTTTTTTTTTAACCCTAGCAAAGCATAGTATAGAATAATTTTTATTCAATATTGATTATTACATAATACTTATTGAAAGTCATTTTTAGGGTTCCGTACCTCAAAAGGAAAAAACGGAACCCTTATAGGATCACTTTGTTGTCCGTCTGTCTGTCTGTCTGTCTGTCAAGACCCTTTTTCTCAGGAACGCGTGGAGGTATTAAGCTGAAATTCATATCATATACTCAAGTCTACTGTCCCTTGGAGTTGTGAGAAAATCAAACCTCTAAGCCAACGCAATCAAAAGATACACCGGTTTATGCTGCAAATTTTCGATATTCGCAAGGGAATCAAAACCTACAGGGTACTTCCCGTGAACTCAGATTCTTGAAATTTGGTACGAAGCAACGTTTTACATCACAATTAAAGGAA